CTGCAAAGTTCGACGGCGATCCGAAGAAACTACATATGAATGCTTTGATGCATTCTCATTACTGACTTGCCCTATGGAGTTCAGCGCTATCACTTTTCCTCATGGCGGTCAATTTCACGACTAGACTTCTTCCTGCTCTTTTCATCGCAGTTCATCGCAGATTGCTCTTCCCATGTAGCACTTGCCGCTCGGGGCGGAATCGGCCTTTGCTATGTAGTGAATTCAGATGGAGAAGTGCATGTTTGACGCTGATATCTGCACTTTTTGACTGGTCGCGAATAAAAATTTAGAGTTTGGCGTTAACTCAAAATCACGGACCACGAAATTGCTGTTTCACCTACCCCATCATCATAATGAGTTTAGTCGTAAGCCGGAAATATAAGGAAGATAATAATATATAATAATATATTTTTGTAAGAAAAAACATTATTTCCACACGGTAAGGGAATTTCTCGATGAGGCGGTGAGCCTCACAGAATCTCCCGTGACCACCGTGATTCGTGCATGCTGCGTCTCCGACTACGAAGCCTAGGTCAATTAATGGCATATGTACTGAAATGAATGCTTTTCCCGTTGGAACGAAACGCTCCATACCCATCTTCTTCGATGATAGCAACATGCTGAATCCAGGGAAAAGGTCTGGAAAGTTCCGCTGACACTTACATGTTAGATTTCGCAGGATTCCCACCGTCACTCGCGCCTTCACCTAAGGAGGAATCAACAAAGAATCTATTTCTTGCGGATCTATCACATTCTGAAAACGCAAATTATTGCAGTTGAGTAACGGCAGTCCAAGAATGAGCTAACTATTCTATGTTCACTCAGAATTATTGTGACATTTGAATGCAATTTGGGCTACACTATAAATTTCGGAGAAATAATCCACGTGAAATCAGTGTTTTAGTTTTTTTTGTGGGTTATTCCTCCCAGACGATCCTGTTACAGTTACTCGACTCCCTAAGAAAAAAGGCCGATTGTTGTCGTGATCGCTATCTCATTCCGGAATACACTTGACCGGCCCGGTGAGTTACGAGCGACGAGACCTGGATCTACACCACCGTAGTGTCATAGTGGACTACTCTTCGAGAAGCACTTAGTTAAGGTGAATGTGTTGCACGTAGATTCTATTGGGTTGATCCATAATTCCTGGCCGAATTTTTTCAGAATCAATTTTCTTCATGTCAAATTAGTGTCATTACGAAATAAGTTAGTATGTTGAAGGAGGCATCAGTACCTTAAACTAGGATGTTCCAGAAGGTCAAAGGGCAGTGGAATAAGTAAGTAGGGATCGAAATGGATCAACGACCAAAGCAGGCGATTATGCTTAACGATCATTTAAAGAAGAACCTTGCAAGGAGTGCAGTAGGCAAGACCAGCGCTGTGTTTGCCTCAGTCTTTGCTACTGATCGGGCACTGGGCTATTGGCTTGAAAGCATCGGCAAAGGCGATACAAGCTGCAAAGTTTGACCTCATCCTAACCCCCAGTCACTTTCGATGAGGATCCATTGCGCTGTGAATCGGAAGTTCACCCGGACGCTACCACCTGAGATTTGTAGCAGATACCTGGGCACAGCCGATGCACCACCGCAAGCTGTCTGAATGAAACGGGCTGTAGCAGAATGAAGTTTCGATGGGAACGGCATGCATCTCTGACCATGACCGAGAAGCAGACCTGACCATCTGCAGAAATTTCATTCTGCGCAGGCATAGCCTGGACTTTCCCTAGTCGGTCACCAGTGGAGATGAGTCATGAGTCCACTACGACAACAACACGCGGCACGCCTTATGGCTATGTCGCAGCCTGACCTCTTTCGTCAGAGAATATTACCCCCATTTGTAGGATTGGTCGGGTATCCCACTTTGAGAACCGCTTCATCTTATATAGACAACCACTGCGAAGATAACCATGGAATAACTCCCGAGGTTGGCCGCAGCAGTGCGAGAGAACCATTCGAAACGTCTCAAAATCTCCTTCCTCCGGATGAACGCCCGACCTTACATTGCGAAGATAACTCGCCACCTTCTGAGGGAAACTGGCTGGATCGCGATACCACATCTATCGTATAGCCCTAACATTACTTCATCGCACTATCCCCTTCTCGATGCCCTGAAGCAGTACCTTCGAGAGAAAGGGGTCACTGAATACAACCACCCAAAAAACGACCTCTCCGAACTCTTCATCCCATAGCTCCACTCGTTTTGAGAGGAATGCATCCATTCGCTGCCTAGCAAATGAATGCATATCAGCGATTGCGATGGTGGTTATATTGTTGATCAGTTATTCTCCAGGAAAGAAAAAACTCAATGAAATGAAAGTGTCGAAATTCGGCCAGAAATTATGGTTCAGCCCAATATTTAGGCTCAATCAGTATATTTCAATGACAGAGGTTTATTCTCTTTTGTTCTCTCGCGCTTCCGAGTCCTTGAAACGCATTGTTAACGATCCCCGCCAGATTCGACCCCATGCGGCGAACGAGAAACGAAAATGCGGTGACACCCTCAGTCGAACTTTTCAACTGTACAACTTACACTTACCTAGCTCGTGCCGGCGACAACCGCTATACCGTTTTTTTTTTTGACCCTTTGATTACCCCGGCTTTACTATCACCTCACATCAAAAGTGCACCGCAACTTGTCATAGTGGAACAGAGGTAATTCATACTACAGTCGACCTTACACCACACTCATTCCATGTCGGCTCCCATCATAGTTAATTACCACACCATATCTGGAACCCGATGATGTCATATGGCGCCTTTAAAAGCAAGTTTTCCTTCATGTTGTTTTTTGAGGAACGTCTCAACCTCTAAACTTCCAAGTGACATTCCCATTTATTGCCAGTGAAAAGTGATCCATCATGAGGGGCTTACAACAAAAATGTTTCCCTTATTGGCGATGTTCTTGAACACTAGAACCTATCTATTCTTTTCCTGCTGTGCTTACTAACAACGAGAGGAGTAACTGAAATAGCTACAGCGGTCAGTTAGTCGACGACTCAGGGATGAAGCAAAAAGAACAGGATAGAGATTCCGACAGGAATATTGGCTGTGTACCAGAGGCATTTGCACAGGCCAACTAAGCATTAATATTCTCAATTCGTTGGTTGCTTGTTTGTTCAGTTTTGAATAGAGGTGAATGCATGGCGCATTTTGGATCTTTTTCCAACGTTTTTTCAAGAAAGAGGAAAAATTCCTCTAAGGCGAAAGATACTTCTATGAGTCTGAGTCAAACATCTTGCGCCGATGTTTTGAATCATCGAACAATTGTTTTGCCTCCACTAGTCATCGTGTTGGCGTGTTCATGTACATGCTAGCCAAAGGTTGTTATTTGTCTCGTAACTCACTTGCAAAAAACTGTGCAACGAGTAGATGATCAACAAAAGATGTCATCAGATAAGTCAAGCGGAGGCGAGCAGAGGTGGTGAAAATAAGGAAGGGTCTCTCATTCTGAACAGTTTTACACTTCAAAGACGAGGGTCTTACATTTGAAGGTGATGATTTTCGAATGGGCACTACGCAATAGACGGGAGCATCCTCTGACACTAACATTAAGCCTAGGAGGCGGTAGAAACTCTGGGGTAAAAAGTGGCTTTCGGGCTTTTTAATCTTTCCTCCCCCGCCTTAGGCTTAGTCCCCTATTAAGCGAGAAGTACATGGTTTACGCGGCTTTAAATGCATTGCCACCACAGGCCCCCATATATTGCAATAGTTTCTCAGCAGGTGATTGACCAAAATAATTTGAATTTTTGAATTATAATATGATGTTGGATTGATTCTTATTACTATAGAATTATATGGAACATCATGGATGTGCAGCATTGCGAAGGATCCAGATAACTTTCGAGCCGGGCCGTAAGCACATACTACTCTGAATGATACCAGTAACAGCGCAATCAATCAAGATAAGAGAGGGAGATTCCCTCTTTCCCCAGATGGGCCACAAAAGGAGCGAAAAGGATAGAAACCGCTAAGAGCTTATTCATTCAGACTGCTTATCCACCCCGAATTCTCCCGGTAGGCAGTATTTGCATGTGCATACGATCCTGGTTTGGTTCCCTCGAATCGATGTGTTTAGCATGCACGAGCAGAACCGTATGCAAATAAAATAGAGAACAAGTTCAACAGTGCACTTACCTTTTGTAGCAAGCCGCACTGATCAAGAATTGCCTCATGTATCAAAGCTTTGAAGTCGGTGTTGGTGTTCGGATCGAGTGAGGACAACAGAGAGGAGAGTTGTTGGCGAATCGCCTCGCTCATCGTCGTTTCCATCACGGTGCGATGAATTCATGTGATGAAAACAGTCGGAAGACGAAAGGGTGGGGAGGCGTTACGTTCTCGTGGCAGACGAAGCCGGAATACGCGGCAGAACCGAGACACCGAATAATCAGCACTTGATCGCTATAGCGCTGTGCTAAACCATTCCCTCATGTATTCAGCGCATGAAGTACAATCCGCGACGGAAATAATGCGCACCGCGTTCTCCTACCATGCATGACTCAGTCAAGGGCACGGTCAACACACCCCTCTAATCATGACAACAATCGCAGCGCAGAACTGTAGGGGTGTGAAAGTACACCTTTGCGCATTCAAACACTCTTTCAACGCCTGACGTTTACAGTCGAATTCCTCAACACGACTGGAGTACAAGAACAAGGCTACCACCAGTTTCTTAACCAGTATGAAAGACTAGGTGGCGACCAAAGTGTGCCTCCACAACGATGTAGCGATTATCGTGCTCCAATCGAATGACCGCTCGCTACGCCGCACGTCGGAAACTCAACAGCTGAGACTTTATGCTTTACTACTGCAGTTTTAATTGTGTTTTGCTTATATTGTTGTTTCTCTTGTGGGCTTATCTACGTTTGTAGTTTATTGTTGCTTTGTTCGTCCTCACACTGCACGGTTTTATGTCCGTGCACTCAGTTTTGTCGTCAGATTTCGGTCAAAAATCTTGCATTTCGTGGAGCTTCTTGCTTCGTCATTGTTAAGGTTGTTTTAGGGATGACAGAAAAGCCTGTGATCTCACAGTTTATGAGAGATAAGGCCAGTCGAACTAGACTCGCCATTGAATCTTTCTATGCTCAAACCGTCACACAGGCTGTTGAACGCGATTCTCGAGCGAAAAAGCTTGAGGAAAAAATGGCTGCGGAAGGTGAGCATGTCATTACAATTTGCTTGAAGAGTGTTTTGGTTGGATGATATAATACGCAGTCGATCAAATGTATCCTTTCAATAACTGGTTCACGGCATCGTGAAGGACATTTTTTCAAACGCAACACTATTTTTCAGTTCATTTGCAGTTCTATCACCCCACCATCTTCATCTTATTGGCATTGTATAAGTGATATAATAAGAAAGTATCGTATTTATCCCAAACTACCTTACGGGGCGGATCTCCATCGTTTGGCCTTGCTTTTCCACCTTCTCGTCTTCTTCATACATTTCATGGAAGCGTAAGGATATGAGTTACGGACCATACGCCTGCTCCCTTTAACGTTTCCCACCTTATGTCGAGAATACTTCTGAGC